CCCCCCCCCTAAAAAAGAAACCCTTTCTGATGCAAACACATAGGCACCTGTCGTTTTTGTGCATCTGGCTACGAACTTTGTCCAGGTTTTAAAACTGGAGGTTTTCGCTCAGACCAGGTCAAAATTGGGGGTTGCCTCGCTGTTCCTACAGTATTACATTATGAGGACAAGTTGCCTCCGTAAACAATTAGTGCTTTCTGATCAAATTGGTATTTTTGAGCTTTGTTTGAAGAAAAAAGGACGCGGTGGGTTTGGGAAAGGGGAAGCGTGCGTTTTAAGGAAGATAAACACGCAAACACGAAAATGTTGTTTGGACAGTGTTATCCTTTTTACAATTAGTGAACGTACCAGTAAGAATAAGATAATTGCTCAGGGAAAAGGGGGGGGGGGGGATGTGTGCAAACTTTTTTAAATGCTGTTCGTTCTGATGTTAATCTGTTGGTGTGTAAAGAGTTCTTTATTACAGCAATGTTGATTTTGATAGTCATTTCTTTGTTGATCTTTGGCGTATTTCAAAAGTAGTCTGAAGAATAGACTTTTTTCATATTTTATCTATTCCTAAATGAACGCTTCAGTTTTGATTTCTCTTTTCCTTTGACAGGTTTTGCAATCATGACAACACTTCCCTTGTTATGGCCACTCAACCTTGACCCGGCACACCAACCTTGACCCTTGACCCGTTGTAATAGGTCACAATGGAACTAATCCGAAAAGCGGCTGCCGCCGTCAACTCCAACAGAAACAAGCGTATCAAACTGAATGTCGGGGGTGCTGTGTTCGAGACCTGGACTCACACTTTGCAGAAAAAGCCAGGGACACGATTGGCTAAGCTCTCTCGCGCTCTGGAGGCGGATGAAAGTTATGACACGGAGAGGGGAGAGTACTTCTTTGACCGGCACCCGGGTATTTTCTCCACTGTCATGCACTATTACAGAACAGAAGAGCTGCACACGGACCATAACATCTGTGGAAACATTATCAAAGGGGTAATTGTTTTCTATTTTTGTATGACCTTAAAACTATGTTGTGGCCATTTCATGTGGGTGGAGTGGGATTATTGGGGGAGGAGGGGTGGTCAGAATTGGGGGAATAAGTGTAGAGGATGAGAGA